CAACATGATACAAACTTTGCTTCGTTCATCTCTCAATCATTGTATTGCATTATATTATATGTTGGCCCCGACAATAAAAACTACAGAGCTTTGATTATTAAACTAAGCATTTAAATATCATATTACTAAGACTTATTATTGGGAGATATAGAGTGACAACTGATATGTATGTGCATTTTATGTAAGCAGTCTGCCATACTATTAGAAAGATCTCATTGATTTACAAGCTGTCAGAATTTCAAAAATTTTAAATTGCATATTTTTGCTGCAGTTTGAATAAAATAATAATAAAAAAGGTCAGATTTTTGCTTTTAAACACAAGATGCTCTTTGGAACATTTAGTTCATATGTGTACTATTAAGTGTACTTAAGAGTGTGCATATTGTGTAGACCTGTTAATGCATAGGATGTCAAATGTTTGATTATAATTAAGTATTTTATTTTGTTGTTATTTTCTCTTAAAGGTTATCAACCTAATCTGAATCTATTTGAACTTAAGCTGAGCTTTTTGCTATTGAAACGGCAAACTACTGATTCAAGTTCACCATCTAACTTCAATCAAACTATCATCTGTTGGAAAACTGCTTTAATCAGTTATGAAATTGAATGGAAATCAACACACTGCAAACCAACCATGATTGTAGAAAGTTTATCGAAGATGCAAAGTAAAAGCCATTTTTTGAGTTGATCCTTATGTCTGTGGTTGACTGAGCTCTTTTTCGAGTTAAAGGCAGTATTGATGTGTGAACTTCCAAAATAACTCGACATTATCAAATATGTACACAAAAAAAAAAAAAAAAAAAAATATATATATATATATATTAATATTATTATAGTGTTATATTGTTACATTGAATATTTGAACCGAAAAATGAACATGAATTTCAGAATATTTTAACATTTAGTTAGTCTGGATTTAATGACAATTTGTTTTGATAATTTAATTTGTAATGAAAAAATGCATTTTCTAGTTGTCTCAGATGTTTGGACTTTGTTGTTTGAACATAAAACACATCATGTTTGTTGTGTTTGTACGGCCCTCTAGAGGCTGTGCTTCTCCAGAGAGAGACATTTGAGATCCTGTTAACTAATTATTCTGATCTTGTCATGACCCGAGGTGAGCGACTGCTTTTGACAAGAACCCAAATATAATCACTGCAGCATCGGCACATCTGCTACAGTTCAGTTAAAGGGCAACATCTGCTTATCCAAAGTAAATTATTGCAAAAAAAAAAAAAAATATATATATATATATATTAATATTATTATAGTGTTATATTGTTACATTGAATATTTGAACCGAAAAATGAACATGAATTTCAGAATATTTTAACATTTAGTTAGTCTGGATTTAATGACAATTTGTTTTGATAATTTAATTTGTAATGAAAAAATGCATTTTCTAGTTGTCTCAGATGTTTGGACTTCTGTTTACCAACATAAAACACATCATGTTTGTTGTGTTTGTACGGCCCTCTAGAGGCTGTGCTTCTCCAGAGAGAGACATTTGAGATCCTGTTAACTAATTATTCTGATCTTGTCATGACCCGAGGTGAGCGACTGCTTTTGACAAGAACCCAAATATAATCACTGCAGCATCGGCACATCTGCTACAGTTCAGTTAAAGGGCAACATCTGCTTATCCAAAGTAAATTATTGCATTTTATCAGTGCAATGCATTCTCAAGGAATCAAACCCAACTTTGCTGTTGCAAGCACCATGCTATACAGTTTCAGCTATATGCTATAACAATAAAGTTTCTAAAAGGATTCTTTGCAGTGATGCTATACTGTAGGCATAGAAGAACCATTTTTGATTTCCCAAAGAACCTTTCAGTGAACAGTTCTTAAAAGAACCATTTTTTTTCTTAGTGTGAAGAACATTTAATAATCTAAATAACCTTTTTTCACTATAATGAATCTTTTGTGGAATGAAAAGATTCCATGGAAGTTAAAAGGATTTTTCATGGAACCAGATACCAATAAAGTACATTTATTTTATAGAGTGTATGAACGGCACAGAATTTCTGCTGTCCTATTGTTGGTTTTTGACCTTTGTCTCCTTTCTCATTTTTTTTTTGAAACAAAATATTTCTAATTCCAAAGGTCTAAACCTGCACATAAGCTTTTGACTATTGGAAGGTCTTGTATATTTTATATATATATATATATATATATATAAGAATTCGCTACATGCCAGTGATATTTTAGTGTCATTGATAGCTATCATTTTTGTTAATGCTTTTAATGACATTTTATTTATATATTTTCTTTTTAATTATATTTTTATTTAAAGCTTCAGTAATTTTGTTGTGTATCCTTTCTTTTTTGAAATGCTTTTATTATTTTTTTTATTTTATTTTTTTATCATTTTGTATTTATTAGTTTTAGTTATATTCGTACTTCAAGTTAAAACAAAATGAGAAATGTTGCCTTGAAAACTAGCTGAAATAAAGTTTTTCATATTTATTATTTTATTTTAGTTCGTTTATTTTGTTACAAGCAATGAAAATGTTTTTATGGTTTTAGTTGCTGCTGATACATGCAAGCCATTATATTTACAATGGACACTGTTACATTTGTGTTACAAAAGCTCTTTATAAATCACTTCAAATGTAAGAGCATCACCAGACCTTGAGCAACTATGATGCTGTTTTTAATCACTTTCAAGTCTCAAGTGTTTTTTCTTCCTGAATACCTGAGAATTAAAGTCACTCTTTTCTTCTTTTTCAGTGTATTAATGTGAGTAAGAGTGAAAAAAAGAGTCATTGATTTATCACAATTTACCACGACAACACAACATTAGCTTTCCTCCGTTGTTAGTAATTACATTTGCTGCTGATGAACCTTGGGGCATAAATGGGCTTCATTAAGAAAAGAAGAAACAAAGAGAAGCGAAACTAAGTTAGAATAATTGTTCAGCTTGAGCTAAGCACTTAAGGTAATGCACATCTGGTCAGTCTGATCGATTTGCACGCCGCTTGTATGCTGTTCCAATTGACAGGGAATATGTGATGTGAAATTACGTCATTCCACCTCAGTCTCCTGAGTTAATTTTTTTATTTAGTTTCCAGGTGTCTCAAAAGACGAGTAAGAGAACCGCAGCATCCGATCCATAATTCACCTGCCGCGTCCTGTGGATGTTTTAATGTGTCAAAAACAGAGGTGTGAAGATGACCACAAAGTATGAATGGTTTGTTTTTTATTAGTAATTTCCCCAATGTAGCCACCCCTCCCCACCTCAGCAGACCCACCTGATCATCTTCCAGCCTTGAGGGGTTGCTACGCACCTGTGAGTATATAAGAGAGCAGAGCTCATTCAGAAAATAATAGAGAGAGAGAGAGAGAGAGAGAGAGAGAGCGATCCATTCACACACGCCAGGAAAAAAAAGTGCGAACCCAGAGCAGTGGAGGTGAGCTTGATAAGAGCTGGAGACCCAAAGAGAGTCAAACGAGGAGATTCAGAACCATAGAACTCATCTATAAATTCAGAAAGGTAAGAATATAGAATTTGAATCATTTTGCATTTGAACCATTGAATCACTGGTTAGTACTGTATCTGCTTATAAAGCTTCATTTATGAACAGTGTCACAAATGTGTCAAAATATATATATATATATATACATATATAAACAAAAAACATTAAAAAACAATGCAAATTTTTAAATTAAACATTACAAAGTTAATTAAATGGCATGCATGACTCAGAATTCAACTTCAGAATTAAAGACAAAAACTATAGATATTGATTATTTTATTGGAAACAACTTCATTACTATTATGTATTATAACTATACATTTTATGGTAAGCAAAGCTATAGCTTTATAAACTTCCTCATTGAATTACATTGAAAATAAATACATTTTATTTATTGTCTATTATTTCAATTAATAAATAATTTAAATAATAGATTTCAATAATGATTATTAATACTAATTATTATTACTATTTTAATTATTTCATTTTTAATTAATTAAATATTTTTGTTGTATTTTAAACAAAACATATACGTTTGTATTTTTAAACTTATAAAAGTTTTTATTTATTTTAATTTATTAAAATTAATTTGAGAAGGATCTTTAAAAAAATCTGATCTAAAAACTCTAATACGTGAAATAATAGATTTTAAATGATGATTTTTGTTTTTATTATTAATATTCTTTTAAATGATCAAATATAAATATGTTGTATTTAAATTTCATATTTAAATTACTATTATTTACAATTAATTGTAATAATGATTTACTATTACGTAATGCTTAAATCAATTTGCTGAATTTGAAATAAAATATTTTGTATATATTTTCTCATTTAAATGCATATGTTTATGTATGGTTCTATAATAATGTGCATTATTCTATATTAAATTACTGGGGGGAAATTAAAAAAGAAAACTATTATATTATAAAAATAATTAATTTGATATTCATGATCATGGTGAAATCATCAAACAATCTCCAATAATGATCTTATTATCTTATAACTTGATCCACTTGGTCTGATTTATAAAGAATAATATATGAAGACTTTTTTCCCCCTGTGAAATGGTGTAATATCTAACAGGATCATCAGAGGCTTTTGACTAATTCTGAGTTACTGAGTCATCATCATCATCCATACCAAAACCAATTTCTGTGGACTTTCATGGACAATCTTACTAACGAGTCTCAAACCTGCAATACTAGATAGAGTCTGTTAACTGCAGCTGATTTATTTCAGCGCTTTTCCTTTCATCACTGACGCAACACTGCGGCTGACGTCGTGCTGTGATATTAATGGACCTCACAGATCTGTGTGTGTCATGACATCATCAGAAAAACCATAAAAGGTCACGTACGAAGGAATGAAGAGAGTAGATAAAAATCTCAAAGTTCACTTCCCTTCTTTCTTATAAGCATCCTGAAGAGTCAGTCACCAATTACAAAATGATTAAATATACATGCCCTAATATAAAGAAGCTTTTTAAAGAGACATCCGTTTCTCGTTAACCGTACATGACCTGCCCACACGCCGTCATTGTGTGAGGACAGTCCGAGTGACTCTGATCCATTCAGCGCAATCAAATCAAGTAAAAATACCCGAGCAATAAAACTCGTCCTTGACTTTATATATAGCTCAGTATCAGCCGTTTTCTTTTCAGCTTTCCATTCTGAGTCATACGAATGATACCTGAGGGACGGAAGAACTGATCTGGTCTTGTTTCTTGTTTTCAGATGCTCAGTCCTTCCTGGCTTTTGGCTGCAGCAGTCTTGTGTTTTCACAGTCCATATGCAGATGGCCGCTGCTTGGATTTGATAGACTGCATGGGCCTTAAAACTAATGAACAAAAACGGGTAAGATTCATTTTAAGGCAATAATAACATGACTTAATAGATAATAAAGATTAAACTCATGCACACTTCCATTTAAAAGTTTGAAGTCGGCTGAAAGAAGTTTCTAATGCTCACCAAAGCTTAAAATACATATCATAAAATATCATTACAATTTTACAAGTTTAAAATACAGTCCTTAAATATAGACACATGCTCCTTCAAAAAATATTCTTATATGCTGATTTGGTGCTCAAGATTTTTGTGGAAACTGTGATAGAATTTTATTTTTAGGGATTTATGATGAGTAGAAAGTTTAAAAGAAAAAAAATATATATTAAACAGAAATCTTTTGTAACATTATAAATGCATTTACTGTCCATTTTAGCAATTGAATGCATGCTTGTTGAATAAATGTATTAATTTATTTTAAAAAATCTTACCTCAAACTTTTGAATGGTAGTAAGTTATTATAGTGTTTTGTCTTTGCAGTCATATGTAGACACATTTATATAATTAGCAATCAAACAGACCACAAACCTAAAAATAAGTTGATGACATTCAAATCTAATTAAAAAGCAATAAAAAAAGAAATAATATTTTGCACACATAAAATGAAGAAAAATGTTTTTAGTAGCATTAAGACATTATTTCCTAAGATAATTATGCACATTTAAAAATAATAATAAATTATGGTAAAAAAGTACATTACTACATTTAAGATAATTAGTATAAAAGGTGTACATTAATACCACAAATTTATAAATATTTCAATATTGAAATACCAGTTTGTCTTTCTTTGGTTTATAATTACAATTGTTATGAGATTCACCCAATTATGGTGTAATGAATGCACCATATCAAATCTGAATGCACCATAAACAAATGATCTGTTAAGCTTTGTACAATGTAATAACGGTTGTTAATGAAAGCTGCATTCATGAACAGCATCTGCATCCTCTCTCGTTCTCTGTCCTGACTGTACAGCAGTGTATCAGGCAGTGCAGATCAGCGCAAGAATCCTCCAATTACGGGAGAGCTTCTTCATCTGAACAGCAGAACAGTGAAGAAGAGAGCCTGAGTTTGGGTTTGCTCTTATCGGCTCTGTCTCCTGATTCAACCGAGCTCAGAGACGCTACTGGAGAAGCCCCTCACAACGACGAGAGGAGGTCTTACTCCATGGAGCACTTCCGCTGGGGCAAACCCATGGGCCGCAAACGCCGACCCGTCAAAGTCTTGACCGGCGGCGCCCTGGAGGAGGAGGAGCCCGAGGAGTCGGCGGAAAGCGTCCGCGTGGAACGAGGGCAGAACGGCACGCTGGACGTTCAGCAGAGGAACAACGCAAAGAGCAACGGGAAGTATCGCATGACCCATTTCCGCTGGAACACCCCACCTGACAAGCACTACTGAGGCTTCTTGAGGCCGTATTCGGATCAATCCCATAAACCCCTGCTCATGCTCATACGAAACGTCATTGTTAAAGACGCACAGCAGTTCAGAGATTAAGAGAGGAGAGAATGGACAGAATTTTTGGTGTCAAAACATTTAAATGTGTAACATGTAACCTTAATTATAAAAATTTAAAAAAACTCGCTGAACCAAAAAGACAGGGCATGAAACATTGTCCGATGTAGAAAAAAATGAATGAAGAGAAACAAACTAGCCAAATCACTTATATATAAAAGTCAGGAGGATATATCACATGTGACTATGAAAGGCCCATTACTTGACATTTGCAATTCATTTATATACTCGACACAATAACTATCACCTCTGGGATTGAAAAAGTACGCATATTCAGAAATGCCAGGTATTTGTCTACCTGAGATAGTTTTACTGTAATATACTGTACATGAAATACATTAAAATGAATTTGCAATTTTGTCAGCTGTGGATTTCTGTGTTTGGATGCTGGGTTTATCCTTGAGTCCAACAACTGCCAGTTTGTGGACTGATCTGAATTGATTCATGTTGGAAGCAGATAAAAGTTCACACGAAAGTTAAAAAATTCTGTCATTATTGAATTTCCAAACCTGTAGAGTTTTTTTTAATACTATGGTCATTGTACGAAAGTCAATGGCTACCGTCAACTGTTTGGTTACCAACATTCCTCAAAATATCTTCTTTTAACAGAAGAAAGCAAAAAGAAACTCTGTCTTTAATTTTCACTGCATTTTTAAATCTAGAGCTAAAAGGAAAAACAAGCAGAACCATATAATTTTATAATAACTTAATAATACATTTATAATACTGGCCATAGCATAAAGTAATTCTTGGCTTTTGGTATCTGAGCATTTATACCAAAGACCAGCAAAAATAATTGGAGTATTCTAAAAATTCTATATTTAGTATTTCAATAAATACAATTTAAATTAAGATAATTTTCCAAGGAAAAAAAAAAATATAAAAATAAATAAGATATTTTCTTAAAAATTATATTGTCTGGACAGCAAATAGAGACTTTTGCTTAAATGTTCTGCTTCTCAGATATTCCTCCTGAAAAAAAAAATAATTGGGAATTGGGAATTTGCCTGTCTGCAATCAAAAGAAAGTCAAAGATCTCGTTACAAGCTCAAAAATTTCTCATTAAACTCTTCCAAGACCAAATCATCTGATCAATTCTGCTAAACGAAACCTTTGAGCAACAAAATTGTCCTCTGGATTGTTTCAGCACCCCTAACTTTATACATTAAAAACAGTCTAAAAAACTGTCCCATTTCAAAGCTTTTAGAGTTTTGTGGCAAACATGTCAAATGTGCACACTGCATTGTATCGAAAATGTTTTATTGTCTATTTGCAGTTTAAGCACAAACAAATCATGGGGAAAACTTTCATCCAGACAGAACGTAACTTAGAAAAACAAATGGAGACACTGTGACTGATATTTCATCAATGCTACACATGAACAGAGCTCTCCATTTCAAGACTCCAGCTTGAATGACACTTGAATTGCAGAATAATTAATAATTAATAACTAACTTTGACATGTCACAGCCCAGACATGAATGAAATTAATTCTCGCAAACATTAAATTCATTACTGAACTACAATGCTGACGAAATGTGAGACGCATTTACAGAATTACTGAGCATTTATATCAGTCATATTATCGGGGCAAGAGCTATACTTCAGATTAATTTCAAGGGAATAATTAGATTTAAATAGCAAATGCATTTAATACTAATAATACTGAGAACAGCAATTGTCTACTACTTCTGTGATAAAGATACTACTGACTTCAGGCATTATAGCATTTACTGTTTAGGTATCTGGTCATTTTCGTTGGATCGCTATCGTTGGTATCTATGCTCTATCTGTGTAATACAAATTAATATTTATTTAATTTGCTGTCATACTTGGCCTCCTGTTATATGGTCTTAAAAAACATGTAAAGTAACACTTAAAACATATACTGTATGCAGTCACCAACTGATGGCATAAATAATAGTTGCATGAATCTTCTAGTAAAAGCAAAGCAGTTCAGTTCATGGCACTGTAAAAATCCACAGCCATACAAAAACATTCCACACAAAAAATGATAAAACATAAATGTCTGTTAGCCGAACATGAACAAATAAATCTCACCATTTACACCACCTCAATATAAAAGCCAAAAAAAAAGGCTTGAAGTTTTCCATCAAATGATGAAAAATATAATTATTATTCTTCATTTATTAACAGGTCTCTACAATAGGTTCTTGAGTATTGGCCAATTTTTCATAATGCACTAAAACTGCCTATCTGACCATAACAAGATTTTTTTTAATCTCTTTCTTTTTTAAAACATTCGATAGAAGGTAGCTCTGGAGGAGCCTCCAGTTTAAGCAAGAAAATTAATTTTAAAAAATTGGAAGAACAATGAGCTGGATGAGACAGAAATTAAAATAGTGGAAGACTTGTTAAATGTTAGCCAACTAGTCCAAAACAAAGAATAACTTGGATTGCAGATTAAAAATAATATATAAATTAATATTGTTGCACTGCTTGTCTTGTTGCTATATGCAGACTGTTTTCTATGCTATAATGGACTATTTTGCTTAGCAGATACACAAGTAAGCTAATCGACAAATAAGATGAATAATTTCAACATAAGATTAAAGTGTTATGTCCATATATTTATTTATTTGGTAAGCAGCTGTGTACTAAGCAGGATAATGTACAGTCAGATGGTCAAAACTGCAAAATAAACCCCCGGCTGTATATTATCCTTTAAATATTCTACTGTATGTAAAGACACAGATCAGCACTGAAATACCAGTCTCTGCATGATCTGGAATATTTGTAGAGCATCATGTAATTCAAACGACACAGCTGGGACTTTAAAAAAGAATAACGTTTGACCAGGAGTGTGATGCACGGCAATGCTGCCGTTCCTGATGGACTGTTTTTTCTTCATTTGTCTCTGAACCCTGAAGCTAGCAGTCAATCACAAAAACAAATCTGCCATTATAAGTTTCGCAAACTCTTTTAAAATGGAGACATCATGCTGCTTAAATGCACACACATACACACTGAGCTAAACCAGAGCAATCTAAAACAAATAAAAAATGACTTACATATATTTAGAAATCTTGTTCGTAACCTTATATACACAATAAAAAAATGATACTTGTGCTTACAAAATAAAAATAAAAAAAATTGTCACATGCCACAAGACTGTGCAGAAGCATTCAAAAATAAGCACAACGTAGCAGGCTACAGACGCTAAGCAAATGAGTATGGTTAGATACATTTAAAAAGTGCTAATTAAATAGTTCCTTCAGCACCGGAGCTCCTTAACACCAATTAGAAACAACTGTGCTTACAACGTAAACACAAGCAGAAGACAGACATCACCTCCAGTGATCTGAACGCCAGATATCTACAGAATGCAGATTGCTGTGATAAACATAAACTACCAATAAAAAGTTCATTTACTAAAGACTCAAACTACTGAACAGAAATGAGCACCAAGTGAATATCGTTTGAGAGATATGTTGTGCAACAAATGAGCTTCATTGATACTGATTGAAGCATTCAAAAATAAGCACAACGTAGCAGGCTACAGACGCTAAGCAAATGAGTATGGTTAGATACATTTAAAAAGTGCTAATTAAATAGTTCCTTCAGCACCGGAGCTCCTTAACACCAATTAGAAACAACTGTGCTTACAACGTAAACACAAGCAGAAGACAGACATCACCTCCAGTGATCTGAACGCCAGATATCTACAGAATGCAGATTGCTGTGAAAAACATAAACTACCAATAAAAAGTTCATTTACTAAAGACTCAAACTACTGAACAGAAATGAGCACCAAGTGAAAATCGTTTGAGAGATATGTTGTGCAACAAATGAGCTTCATTGATACTGATTGCACTTAGGTAGAAAGGTAAATTGTTTGATTTGTCAAAATGTATGAGATGACAGTTTCCCCTTTTTCCTCAATATAGAACTATGAAACTCCACTTTAAAAAGAATAAAGGTGAATCTAACAGAAATATGGTCAAATTAATGACCACATTAACATGAAACCTATTTATGAGCATTATTTTTTTGACATTATCACATTATTTTTATGACAATTCAAAACTATCCTCAAAGTCTTAATACTGTAATACGTTTTTTTAATTTAATATAAATTTAATGTTGTAATTTGTACTGTAAAAAATGTGCAATTCCTGTAGTTTTATTATATTACAATAAACAATAACTGTAATGCAATGATTTTAAGTGAAATCAGCATTACAATAAGCATAATTAAAGACATAATTCCTAATGTGTAAATAATTTACAATTTAACTATTTTTATGTTTGACTGTCATGAAAATAATGTCACAATGTAAAAAAATCTTAATGGTACTGAAGTTAGGAAAGTTTTGTTTATTCAAAATATATTATTTCTTTCTTTTGAACCTCTGTTCATTTGGATTTTTGCTGCAAATGCATATTTATCTTAGCTGATTTTATTATAGAAGTGCAGAGTATCAACGAATATGTGGAAAATATTTGTAAATACGGAAAACTGAACGTGTACTGAACCTAAATCAGGAATCCAAATGTTCAAAATCCTTTCAGTAGTAGTTCAATGGGTGAACTGTCTACAGTCACCTTGCAGACAGCGATGAGGTTTATAATATAATATAGAGGAGGGCTGACCACTTAGTTTTCCTGTATTACAAAACATCAAAAGATAATTTCATACTTAAAACCCTCCAGCTCTCTGCACCTCTGGCTGCTACTGAAGGTTCCTGAATCCTGAGTTGAGCTGCACTAGTAAACGCACAAGTCCGGGAACTTCATCTCATAAACGGGGACAGAGCGACTCTGGGTTTGGCCGTAACTTGATGTGATGGTTCCAGATGGACTGGGAGGAGGCCTGCAAACCAGAAAAAGTGAAAAGATAAGATTTATCAGCACAAACATCTTTCCGAGATGGCTGACGTTTGAAATGAGCCGTGCTGCAACCTACCTGATCGTGATTTCAAAGATTTGATTAAGTTTGCTCTGCAGCATTGTAGCCTGGGAGGAAACAGAAGAACAAATATTAGCCCTAAATTACAATATTGAGCTGATCAGTGTGGGA